TTTTTTCCCCCCTTTTTTTTCTTTTTTTTTTTTACTCCTTAAATAAATCACGCTCCACTTTCAGAATGTTGACTTAGTAAAATAAACATGTGCCCTTTTTCCAATCTTTTCATGTATACAGGACCGTCAGACAGAATGAGTGCTTTTAACTAACAAAAGGTGGACGTAAGTGCAGCCAGAGATGGTTGGCTGCTTTGTCTGTTGTTGTTTTTTTCGCATTCTTAAACAACCTTCATGTTTTCACTGAACATTACAAACTGTGCTGAAAAGGATGATTGTGCCTTTCTTGAACTCCTATCAAAGAATCACTCAAACTATGTGATTCTTCTAAATGTTTCTAACCATTGCCGTAGAGAGAGATGACTGAAAAAGAAAACGGTTCACACTTAAGCTGTCTGATTCATCTATGTTAATGAAACAGACATGAGAGAAGTGGGAGTGGAGGGAATGAAAGCAGACTTGCTTGTCTCTGTCTGAGAAACCCATAACATAGCTCAGGCTCTGGTCTAAATGTAGCATATAATTCTGACCAGAGTCTCCGGTAGTGCTGCATTTTACACACAGACCCCGACGGGCCACCTTGGAAATTTGGGTTTTAGAGGTCAATTTAATATTACCTCTCCCTGACTGTGCATAATGACTGAAAATAGATAAATATAGTCTTTTAAAACCAGAGGTTCTATGATACAGTATAGGTCTTGGTTCCTCAGGGAGCTGCGATAGAGACAAAACCAAAATAGATCCAAAATGGAGGTTCAGTGGTGCGATGACCATCAGACCTGTAATCTTTTTAACAGGGTTTTTTTTATTCATTTGTTTGACGGTTCTCAGAGAGCCAAAGTAAACACATGGCCTCATTGGAGGAGACAGGTCAATGGACAGCAGTTTCCACTGTACGTCTGGAATTCTCCAAGCAGATATGACAAAGATGAACCTTTTCCCCTCTTTTTTTCTTTCTTAAGCCTAAGGTTCTTGTAGATGTGACAGAAGCAAAAATGGTCAGAGGGTGGGAGGTTAAAAGAACATTACAGACTTTTTTTCCAGATTCTGTTCCTCTTTTTTTTACCTCCAGAAGTCTGAACCACAGCTGAATTGTCTCTTTTTAGTGTAACCATTAAACTAGAGTGCTCTCTAATTTTCTCATGCACTGTCTTTCTTGTGGTGAATCAGAGCCCTCCCTCAATGCTCTGAGCTGAAGCACAGAGGCACAGACACCCTCACAGCCCTGCAGCCTATTAGTGAGCACTGCATGTTAACACGCAAGCCAGTATACAGGGCAAAACTGCTACAGCTCTTCTAAGCCTTATATCTCTATCCTTTACTGCTAGCTCTCACCCATGAGCTAAAGCCTGGGAAACCTCATTCACCACCCTCTCCCTTGGCCCCTTCATTCAAACATACATTTTCGGCACTGCTTCCAGCCTTAAGCAACTCTGCACCACTTCACACTGTTCCACCAGACCCGCTAGTGCCCGTGCCAACCAGACCTCCATGTTCTTGGCTCTGGAGGTGGAGGGCGGTTTTTCCTGCTAGTCTTCAGCACTGGATTGAGGTTCCTGCTTTAGTCACCTACACTGAGAAAATAGCTGGTCTTAGTATTAGTCTTAATCAGACTGGTTTCAGAGAGAGATTTTTGTCAGAACAAATCCCTTTTGCACATGGAATACTTGTTGACCTTAGAAAGTGTTGATGGATTCTAGGGTCAGTTTTACAGTTTTGCAAATAAGAGTTTATTGCATATGAAAGAAATACCTTTCAGCAGATCTCTCCAAACTAGTGTTTCGTGATTAGCTCTTGAGCCAGTATGGCTGTTGAGGGCCAGGAGGAGGGAGAGAGTAGGAGGAAGAAAAAGGTACAAAGCAAAGGTCTGGCCTGGCCTGCTCAGCGTAAACATAAAGGTGGTGTGCCCTGACCAGGGTGAAATAGGATCTCAATAAGAGGGGGTATTAAGTTTCTGAGGAGAAAATTACATTAACAGCAGTGGCAGCTTTTAGGACAGCGGGAGGGAAGAAAGCAGAGGGAGAAAAGCAATGGAGAGGGGTGAGTGTTTCTGATGCGTAGAATCTGTTCACTAATGTAAACACATCTTCTCAGGAAGTGGCAGGGCAGTGGTGATAGATGAGGGCTCCCAGAGGGAGAGAGAGCTAGTAATCGCTACGAAGATGGAACCCAGGAATTTTTCTCCAGCTTTGTTAGGTCACCAGGAGAGAGGAAATGTAGGAAAAGAAATGATGGATAAGAGGGGATGCAGCATCCTACAGGAACTCTTGGATATCACCTTCCTGTCAGATGATGACCCTATTGTCTCATATCTTGTTTGAACATGCTGTGGATGTTCGGTGGCTGCTTTAACTTTAACATTCTCTTCATTTGTGTTCTTGCCTGCAGATACTTCTTTGCAGTTTTGGCCATACTGACATTGTTGGGGGTCCTTAATGGTTTGGTGCTTCTTCCGGTACTGCTTTCCCTCATGGGCCCCCCAGCTGAGGTCGTACCCGCTAACAATGGCAATCATTTGCAAAGTCCCTTTCCTGAGCCCATGCCTCCTCCTATGAACCACCACGGGTATTACGCTGGGTACATCCCCAAGGGACCACGTCAGGCATTCTCCGAGACCTCTGATTCCGAATACTATTCTGAAACCACAGCCACCTCTGGCATCGGTGAGGAGGAGTACAAGTACTGTGACAGGAGCGCATACATCACGTCTCCAGCTCAACCGCCAACCTCTCATATCCTGCTTGAAGCCAGCAAGAACCCCAGCTTCCCAAAGCTCACAGTGAGTCGACCTGACAGAAAAAATTCTGAATCAATGATGTAGCGCTTGAGCACTTTTGTAATGTGTTTGTGCTTGTTCTTGCTTCCAAGGTGGTGAAACCTTTTAACGAAAACAGCTCTAAAGGACAGAACAGTGAGTCCAAGCAGAATGCAGCCAACTCGGTCAGTTCACAGATCACACGGTGGGACAAAAAGCATGAGTATCAAGGACAGAGGCGACAACATTTACCTAGCGACAGGACCCACTGTCCTCGCAGGACTACTCAGTGTGGCCCAGGGCCACAACCAGGGAGAGGGCAGCAGCAAAACAGGACTACAGCCCCAGCCCACAACCCTGGGGCATTGCAGCGCCCTAACAATGCAATCACCATGGTTACAGCAACAGCCTCTGTGACAGTGGCAGTGCACCCCAGTTTGCCGGGGTCGTACCAGGGTTACATGCACAAGGGGTTTGAGGATAACGAGTCAGACTCTTTTGACGACTCTAAGAGGACTTCTCAAATGTATGGGAAGGCTACACATTATAAGAGGGACTCTTTGGAACTTCAAGATCTGGAATCAAGAGAAAAACCAGCATCAAGCTAACCAGGCACTAGGTAAAGACTCTGACGTTCTCATAGCTTTCAAATTTTTTTTTATTCATTTGTTTGACGGTTCTCAGAGAGCCAAAGTAAACACATGGCCTCATTGGAGGAGACAGGTCAATGGACAGCAGTTTCCACTGTACGTCTGGAATTCTCCAAGCAGATATGACAAAGATGAACCTTTTCCCCTCTTTTTTTCTTTCTTAAGCCTAAGGTTCTTGTAGATGTGACAGAAGCAAAAATGGTCAGAGGGTGGGAGGTTAAAAGAACATTACAGACTTTTTTTCCAGATTCTGTTCCTCTTTTTTTTACCTCCAGAAGTCTGAACCACAGCTGAATTGTCTCTTTTTAGTGTAACCATTAAACTAGAGTGCTCTCTAATTTTCTCATGCACTGTCTTTCTTGTGGTGAATCAGAGCCCTCCCTCAATGCTCTGAGCTGAAGCACAGAGGCACAGACACCCTCACAGCCCTGCAGCCTATTAGTGAGCACTGCATGTTAACACGCAAGCCAGTATACAGGGCAAAACTGCTACAGCTCTTCTAAGCCTTATATCTCTATCCTTTACTGCTAGCTCTCACCCATGAGCTAAAGCCTGGGAAACCTCATTCACCACCCTCTCCCTTGGCCCCTTCATTCAAACATACATTTTCGGCACTGCTTCCAGCCTTAAGCAACTCTGCACCACTTCACACTGTTCCACCAGACCCGCTAGTGCCCGTGCCAACCAGACCTCCATGTTCTTGGCTCTGGAGGTGGAGGGCGGTTTTTCCTGCTAGTCTTCAGCACTGGATTGAGGTTCCTGCTTTAGTCACCTACACTGAGAAAATAGCTGGTCTTAGTATTAGTCTTAATCAGACTGGTTTCAGAGAGAGATTTTTGTCAGAACAAATCCCTTTTGCACATGGAATACTTGTTGACCTTAGAAAGTGTTGATGGATTCTAGGGTCAGTTTTACAGTTTTGCAAATAAGAGTTTATTGCATATGAAAGAAATACCTTTCAGCAGATCTCTCCAAACTAGTGTTTCGTGATTAGCTCTTGAGCCAGTATGGCTGTTGAGGGCCAGGAGGAGGGAGAGAGTAGGAGGAAGAAAAAGGTACAAAGCAAAGGTCTGGCCTGGCCTGCTCAGCGTAAACATAAAGGTGGTGTGCCCTGACCAGGGTGAAATAGGATCTCAATAAGAGGGGGTATTAAGTTTCTGAGGAGAAAATTACATTAACAGCAGTGGCAGCTTTTAGGACAGCGGGAGGGAAGAAAGCAGAGGGAGAAAAGCAATGGAGAGGGGTGAGTGTTTCTGATGCGTAGAATCTGTTCACTAATGTAAACACATCTTCTCAGGAAGTGGCAGGGCAGTGGTGATAGATGAGGGCTCCCAGAGGGAGAGAGAGCTAGTAATCGCTACGAAGATGGAACCCAGGAATTTTTCTCCAGCTTTGTTAGGTCACCAGGAGAGAGGAAATGTAGGAAAAGAAATGATGGATAAGAGGGGATGCAGCATCCTACAGGAACTCTTGGATATCACCTTCCTGTCAGATGATGACCCTATTGTCTCATATCTTGTTTGAACATGCTGTGGATGTTCGGTGGCTGCTTTAACTTTAACATTCTCTTCATTTGTGTTCTTGCCTGCAGATACTTCTTTGCAGTTTTGGCCATACTGACATTGTTGGGGGTCCTTAATGGTTTGGTGCTTCTTCCGGTACTGCTTTCCCTCATGGGCCCCCCAGCTGAGGTCGTACCCGCTAACAATGGCAATCATTTGCAAAGTCCCTTTCCTGAGCCCATGCCTCCTCCTATGAACCACCACGGGTATTACGCTGGGTACATCCCCAAGGGACCACGTCAGGCATTCTCCGAGACCTCTGATTCCGAATACTATTCTGAAACCACAGCCACCTCTGGCATCGGTGAGGAGGAGTACAAGTACTGTGACAGGAGCGCATACATCACGTCTCCAGCTCAACCGCCAACCTCTCATATCCTGCTTGAAGCCAGCAAGAACCCCAGCTTCCCAAAGCTCACAGTGAGTCGACCTGACAGAAAAAATTCTGAATCAATGATGTAGCGCTTGAGCACTTTTGTAATGTGTTTGTGCTTGTTCTTGCTTCCAAGGTGGTGAAACCTTTTAACGAAAACAGCTCTAAAGGACAGAACAGTGAGTCCAAGCAGAATGCAGCCAACTCGGTCAGTTCACAGATCACACGGTGGGACAAAAAGCATGAGTATCAAGGACAGAGGCGACAACATTTACCTAGCGACAGGACCCACTGTCCTCGCAGGACTACTCAGTGTGGCCCAGGGCCACAACCAGGGAGAGGGCAGCAGCAAAACAGGACTACAGCCCCAGCCCACAACCCTGGGGCATTGCAGCGCCCTAACAATGCAATCACCATGGTTACAGCAACAGCCTCTGTGACAGTGGCAGTGCACCCCAGTTTGCCGGGGTCGTACCAGGGTTACATGCACAAGGGGTTTGAGGATAACGAGTCAGACTCTTTTGACGACTCTAAGAGGACTTCTCAAATGTATGGGAAGGCTACACATTATAAGAGGGACTCTTTGGAACTTCAAGATCTGGAATCAAGAGAAAAACCAGCATCAAGCTAACCAGGCACTAGGTAAAGACTCTGACGTTCTCATAGCTTTCAAATTTCAAATCCCAATACTAGAGAATTACGTAGTTTAGATTGTTATTAAAATGCAGACAGCTGTCTGTATGTCATAACGATGTTCTATCTTTTGCATGTGTTACAGGTGGTACATGGATCCAAGCAGCCAAAGATTGCTAGACTGCTCCCAGCCCCCACATCCCTTTGTCTGGAATCTCTGGCTGTTTTGGGAAGTTCCCAACCCCAGCCCGGTGTCTTTTATCTCTTTGAACTGTACGTAGACCTCACACAGACAAGAGGATTTATTTAAAAATTATTAAAAAGGTCTTCTTAGACATTTTATATATA